CAGCGCTCTCCCCGCCTCGGGGTTGACAGTCCCTGACAGCGTGTCCCTCTCCATGGACCCCGCTGCTCCTCCAAAGCGGCGCAGAGCAGCAAGCTCCGAACACAAGCTTCGCCCAGCCCCTGCATCATCCGGGCACCCAAAACCAGCACCCATCCGTGGGTGCTGCCACCACCCAGCCAGCCAGGATGGAGACCTGCCACGTGGTGGGATGCAACACCCCCTTGCACGGCAGCCGCATTGGAGGGCATCGGGACGGACAGGGCTCCTCATCAGCACAGGGGTGCGTGCACACCCGTGGGTGCGTGCACACCCGTGGGTCCATCCCCACCACCTTTCTCAGGCGGTTTAGGAGGCAACGTGGCAAAACGTCCCCATCCAACCGGTGCAAACCCAATTCCCAATGTCCCCCCGAAGAGGAACCGGGGTGGCTGCACCCGCATCACCTCCCACCCCCGGGGACTCTCCTCCCTTCTGCACCAGCAGCATCCCTGTGACCCCAGCCCCCTCCTCTCACCTGGCCCGGAGAGACATGGTCCTGTCGCTAGGGCACATCCAGCTGTCAGAGCTGCCACCCACCACCGCGTCGGTCATCGCTGGCTGCCGAGGGGATGCAGGGACACGCAGAGCGAGTTTGGGCACGCTGGTGCTCTGCCGATGAGTGCCGACTCAGAACGCGTGGGAAGTCAATCACTTGCTCGTCTGCCCGTGCTCTCAGATAGCAGCAATGCTGACAAAGGTAACCTGGTGCTTTCAGCCAGGCTGTAGGGGGGAAAAAAAAAAAACCACAACAAAAAACACAAAATCACACCAGGCAGGGCTTTATTTTTGGCATTAAGAGGAGCGGGAGAGGAACAGGAATGTCACTTTAGTTGCTGTCTCGTATCATGCACAAGACACAGGAGCCTACAACCGCTACCCTCCCAGGAGGGCAACGCAGCCGCGTTCAGTGTGGATGTAATTAATGAGATACCCAACCTCACATTAATTATGACGCTTCAGAGCTGGGAGGGAAGAGGATGTTTCTGTTTCAGAGAAAAATCTACAAACTAGGAAACTTCCCCCCCCAAAACCCAGCACGTCTTGCCGTCCTCCCCCAAACCACATTCCCTCTGGAACAAAACTCCTCCTTTTTCATTTTTGTTTACTGAAGTTTTTGCAAAATGAAACCGGGAGAGGCACTGAAGGAGGATGCGGCAACAGGACCCAAAGATGATATTCTGTCTACTCATCTCCAGAAGATTCATCAAAAAGGAACCTCTCCAAACCCTTCTCCTTTCAGCAAAACTGACAGTTTTTATTAAAAAACAAATTGATGTAAAATTCAGAACATGAGTGCTTATTTATCCCCACTTTCTGGGGGTTTTCCCCCTCCACCCACTGCCCCCACTCACTGCATGGGTCAGGGACTGGATGGCAAAGCCTGAGCCGATGCCAACCAGCATTGCCCATGGCGCGGGGACGGATCCATCCGTCCCATCGTCTCTTCTGGGGGAAAACCAGTGCTTTTACACAGGGTGAACACCGCAGGCAGAGCAGTGACCTCCAGCCAAGGGCAGGGCAGGATCCATCCTCCTGCGCAGCCCCTCACCCCTGCCCAGCCCGTGGGGTGCCGGGGAACGCTGCAATTATGCTGCAAGTCACCGTGACGCCTGGACCCATCTCGGGATGGTCCACAAGAGCAGAAGGTGCAGCTTGTGGGTCCATGGATGGCATCGCCCACAAGATATCGCTTGCAAAGGGAGAAGCTCAGGTCGAGCCTCCCTTTACAGTTATTAAGGTGGAAATAGAGGAGAAAAGGCAATCCATCCACCAAGGGGTTGGCTTTACTGCAGCACTAAGGAGAGCACAGGGCACCAAGGACGATACGAATCACCCCTTCATTAGGACCCCCTGCCAATGGGGGAAAGTTTTTGTGAGCTCAACTATTTCCCATTTGCAGGATTTTCCCCCCCATCCATCTCCTCTGCAGAGCGCTGAAGCGGAGCTGGCACAGGGTCCCCGCCGGGATCCCCCCGCGGCAGCAGCCTCCCGCCTGCATTTCTTGCAGCACCTGCATTTGAATGGCTTTCTCTTGCCTGCAGAACTAAAAACAAACAAACCAACCAACAAAAAAAAACACCCACAAAAACATAAAACCCCAAACCCCTCCGCAGAGCCCAGCCCGCGGGCACCAGGGCTGCTCCCAGCCCGTGGGCCATTCATCCTCCCAAACCTGCTGCCCTGGGAAGATGCTGCTCCAGACTCCACCACTCCTGGCGGGAAACGCTAAGGTGCCCCATGCCCATCCCAGCACCGAAGCCAGCGTCCCAGAGCTGCCCGTGGGTCCCAGCAGGACCGGAGCTCAGCCCAGACCCAGCAAACGCACCTTTACAGGGCACAAAGCGACTCCAGCTCTCAGTAAAACTCCAACAGGAGACTGGGGAGGTTTTCCCAAGGAGAGGATGGAAAACGGGAGCTTGCAAAACCACCCCACTGAAATCACAAACTGCAAGCCACAAAAAAAAAAAAAAAAAGTGCAACGTTCCCAGAAAGGGGGGAAAATAATTCCCATCCTCCACTTTCCGCTCTGCAATATTGCAGGGGTTTCTCCATCAGCCTCTGAAGAGTCAGCAGAGATTTGAGGATCACCTGTGCTTCACTGATAACTTCCAAAAATATAGAAAAATATATATATAAAAAAAGTGAAGCACATGGGGTAATTAGTGCTCTGCTGGTCTCATACAGTGACTATTCCTGTGCCAAACCAGAAGGCTCTGATTGACAAGGTCAGTTAAATAAGCAAATTGTTCATTTACATCCCCACCGCCACCTCCACAATCTGCACTGCAGCAGCAAACTCCTGCTGGGGATTTAGGGTCCCGCCACGGCCGGGAGCAGGGGGTCTTGTGGGGCTGCACGCAGATTTAATGGGGTGCCCTGGAAGGGCAGCACCATGTTACCGGCACCCATTTTTGGGGAGGCACAGGCGGATAAGGGACTTGCCCAAGATCACGCGGAGCAGGAGCGGCCACCCCAGCCCCATAAAGAATAGGGAAAAAATCCCTGTTTTTTCCTAGCGAAGAGGATAGAGCGATCACTGGCACTTCAGCCGGCAGGGAGGAAAACCCTTTCCCCCAACTAGAACTTTCTGCTAATAATAGAGAGGCCGCGGGTGTTTCGCTTTGTTGCGGATGGAGAAGAGCCCGGGGATGACTCCTGGAGGAATGCACAAGCCTTTCCCTCTGCCTATAAATAATAGATTTTGAAGATCTACTTTGCATTACTTCCAGCAACTACTCTTGCTTGTCCTAATGCTTGGTTCTGCATTTTTAGTGCACAATAAAGAACAAAGTAACAGCTCACGGTGGCTTCCCCCCACCACCAGATCCTGGCTCACAAGCAAAAGGATGTGGCAATCCAAGTCGTGATTGATGGGATGCAGCAGCATTCAGTTAATGAAACTGAAATACCCCATCCTAGGAGGATGCCAAGACCTTCCAGGGTTTCGCTGTCCCCAAAGGGTCCCAGGACCTGCTCCCCCAGGTCCCTCTTGTCCCCGCGCGGTGCTGGCTGCTCGAGGTTCCCCGATTGCAAGCAGAGGTCGGGAGGAGCGAGGTGGCAGCTCCCGCTGGCGTTAACACGGCATGTCCCGGGCAGAGCCAGGAATAGAAGCAAGGTCTTAATTTTTGGCCTTAAGGAAGAGCCACATGACTCTAATCACACTGCTCCATTACTTCTGTATGACGGAGCCCATGAATTCGATCATGCCTTAATAAAAAGGGATTGAATGTCTTCCATGAATCACTCTGCCTCTCCAGGAGCTGCCAGTGCTGTCATCCCGCGCTCAGACGCT